CTTTCAAAACTATTAAAAAATTTTTTGAATGGTAGTGTATGCAAACACACAATTCACTATTGTAATCCCCAAACTAAGTTGGCCCTGCTGACATTTAAACAATAACATTTTATGTTTACATTTAATGAATTAGTGAATATAAGTGGATTTCACTTGTGTGTTTTGCAGAACGAGTGTGTGCGAATGGTGGTTCTTGGTCGGCTGAAGACTCTCGTTGCAGGCATCTCTGATGACCCACTCTCGGACTGACAGTGAACGTCCCCGCAGTCTGAGTTTGCTCTCTTCTGCTCACCTGCTCACACAGATCAGCCTGTCTCCATGGAAACACTCGCAAGAGCTTGAGTCAGGCTGGACCACCAAAGTATGACATATAAACTTACATTCTCTCACACAAACAACATTTAAAAGGGTTAATTCACTCAGCCTCGTCATTTCTGTGTTTGTTCTGTGAAACACAAAGAAGATATATTGTAGAATGTTTTTTTTTTTTATTGCCCTGCGGGGTCAGATCACAGCAGTGAATCTTGATGGTCTGCGGTTAACCCGGCTCAGTAATCTTGACCGACTGGTGAATCTACGCTGGGCTTCATTTGACAATAATGAATTAACTCGAATTGAGGGTCTGGAACACTGCACCCTACTGGAGGAACTTTCTCTTAATAACAACAGTATCAGCAGACTGGAAGGTAGTGCTCCTTCTTTCCCTTTCTCACTCTTTTTTCCACTGTATCAGTTTAATATAAAACCAGGGACAAAGCTGTGTAATATAACCTTCATGTGTTCGTTGCTGCTCTTGTTTGTTGGGTGTGTGGCAGGTTTGTGTGCGATGCATCGTCTGACTCGTCTGAGCATTAACAGCAACCACTTACAGTGTTTAGACGGGGATGTTTTGGACCAGCTACCCAACCTTCACTTCCTGTCTGTAGAGAACAACATCATCTCATCTCTGCATGGGCTTCAAAGGTCACGGTCCTTATTCGAGCTGTATGTCGGCAATAATGACATCAGCACCACCCGAGACATATACCACTTAAAGGTAAGGAGATTTTATAGATCTGAATATCATTTTGTGCAATTAATGATTTTTTAAGCCTTCATTCAAAGCACCAGTTGATGAGAATGCATGTAAAGTGCTGTAGGATAATGTTAAAGTGAATAAAGTGTGGTGGTGGTGGTGATGTAGTGTCTTTTTCTCTTAGGCACTGTCTAGTTTAATTATTCTGGATCTGTATGGGAATCCCCTTGTAAACAAACTGGAGAACTACAGGATCTACATGGTTTTCCATCTACCTTCACTCAAAGCACTGGATGGAGTAGCTGTGGTAAAAATAACTGATGCTTATGTATGTATAGTGTTTGTTTTCATATGTATGCTACTGTTCAAAAGTTATAAAGAAATAAGTACATTTATTCAGCTGCATTTTCCAAGCAATAAAAGTGAAAGGGACTGGAGGCTGACTGTTGGCATAATTTTAATTTATGGGTGAACCATATGGGTATTTAAGTTTTAAAAAAATACAAACGTGTCTGTGCTGTGTAGGAAACGTGTGAATCAGAAACTGCTAAGGACGTGTTTGGAGGGCGGCTCAATGCAGATATGGTGGCTGAGAAGCTGGGCCATACCAACTACAGAGACCTGTCAGAACTCAACCTGCAGTCTAGCTCAGTCAGGTTCACATTAACTCTCACTACAATCCTACAGTCAGAATTAAACCAACACAGCAGAACTGGATATGTTGCTTCACGCTTTATGATTTCTGTTTTACTGTGTGTTTTAGAATGGTGGATCTTGCTCCTGCTGATTTGTTCAGTAATTTACGCAGTATTAATCTAGATCACAATAACCTCACCTCATTCAGCGGTCTCATCTTCCTACCCAACATTAAGGTACATATGAGTTTAGGATAGAACGTTAATCTAGAACGCAATAACCTCACCTCATTCAGCGGTCTCATCTTCCTGCCCAACATTAAGGTATTTATATGTTTATGACAGAATGTAAATACAACACTTATGTCTTTGTCTATGTTACTGGCTATGCATACTAACATTATATACTATCAGCCACTGTGTGTCTACAGTATGTATGTTTTTGTTTGTGCATGTGGTCTTGCAGGTGTTGTCTCTGAACTATAACCACATTGAGTCAATTCTACCACGTCAAAAAGTTCAGAGTCACATGAGCAACAAGCAGAATCTCTATCATAAAGTCAGTTCCAGTGGATATGGGCAGCAGAACAGCAGGCCCAGCAGGTGCTCACACACACACACACACACACACACACAACAATACTCTGTCATGATCTATTGGGGTGATATACTGTAGTTTCTTGTCTAACCACTAGGGAGCATCACAATTACATATAATAAGAGATTCTCAGACAGTGAGTGTGTTTATAACCAGAGAAAACTCACAGCTTCATAGGCTGCAACGTTTTGGGAGTAAAAGCCACATTTATTAACAAATTGTATGTACCGCATACAGTATTAATGCCATAAACTATACTCTTCTAGATGACACATACCTCTACATGTGCCTCGCATTAATTTTTTCTCACTTTCCTTTAAAATGTGCTTCTCCTCTCTTCCTTCTCTTTGTTTGTAGGGAGGGATTAACTGATAATCTGGAGCCTCTGATGTCCAGTTTGGAGGTTTTGCATTTAGGTTATAATGGTATATCCAACTTGATCAATCTACAAATCAGCCGACTCACTAACCTCAGAGCGCTGTTCCTACAAGGTATGTACAACCAAAGTCCCTTTAAGGCAAGTCATGTCACTCTTTGAAACGCCTCTCGGCATGCCAGTGCAGCTCCTATCTCTTTGAATGGGGAAACATCAATTTCTCCAAAACTGTTTGCCAAGCTTATGATTAAATTTCATATTTGAAATCACCAATGAAATCTGGCAACAACAGTATCTTAAATGTTGTTTATTTTGCTCAAATAGCGTTATTTTTCAGGCTAGACCAGCCAGTGTGCATGTGCAGTCCTAGGCGCACGTCTCAGAATGCTTACTCTTTCTATAGCAACTTCCCATTAACGCCATTATAGTGTTCATTCAAACTGGTTCGCGAACGAAGAATGCGCATGAACACAAAAGTGGCGGGATTTATCGCATGGACCAATCACAGCGAAACATAACCAGTCACACCCAGTCATATTGCGATGGAGGCATTGCCTCCTCTCACGTGACTTTCCCCCATTCATTCTCAATTACCCCCCAGTAAACTCACGGCACGCTTTGGGGCGGGTCTGTTAAAACCTTAGACTGTTAAACCTCAATGGGTTCAGGGGAGGCGAGAGAGACGTAGACTCCTGCTGTAACTTTACCTGCTGGTGCTGCTGTTGGACAGTGTTTCTATAGAAAAACGAGTGATTTATACACTTTTTTTATTAACAACATACAAACCAGAATGCAAACATGAAAATGCATATCAATTCAACTTAACCACCTACCCTCCCACACTTTTGAATGTTATATTTTGTAATATTGGCATTGTTTTATTTTTGTACTACAAATTTTTTTTCTCATCCAATATTTTGAGGAGACACTGCCTCCCTTGCCTCCTCGGAGGAAATGCCCCTGGTACAACCTCTCTTGTACAGCTGTTCATCACTGTCTGCAAACATATCCTCACTGAAATATACAGAAAATATTTATGTTTCAAATAAATGCTGTTCTTTCAAATGTTGTATTCATTAAAGAATCCTGAAAAAAAATTAACAGTTTTCACAAAAATATTAAGCAGAATATCTCTTTTCAACATTGATAATAATAAGAAATGTTTCTCGAGCACCAAATCAACATTTTAGAATGATTTTTTAAGGATCGTGTGACACTGAAGCTGAAAAATAGCCTAAGCTTTGCCATCACAGGAATAAATTACATTTTAAAGGGTTACTCCACCCCAAAAGGAAAATTTTGTCATTAATTACTCACCCTCATGTCGTTCCAAACCCGTAAGACCTCCGTTCATCTTCGGAACACAAATTAAGATATTTTTGATGCATTCTGAGAGCTCTCTAACCCTTCCATAGCAGCAATGTAAGTAACACGATCAAGGTCCAGAAACGTAGCAAGGAGATCGGTAAAATAATCCATGTGACATCAGGGGTTCAACCGTAATTTTACAAAGCTACGAGAATACTACGCAAAGAAAACAAAAATAATGACTTTATTCAACAATTCGTCTCCTCCGTGTCACCGTAGCGCCATTTTGGAGAGTAGCCTATCCACTGAACGCAAACAGCGTATGCTGTTCTGTGTCAGCCGCACCACACGGATACGTTTTCTACATTTATTTACGCTTTGATTTGAACGAAAACAACGTATCTGTTATCCGTAAAGTTGTTATTTTTGTTTTCTTTGCGTACAAAAAGTATTCTCGTAGCTTCGTAAAATTACGGTTGAACCCCTGATGTCACATGGATTATTTTACCGATCTCCTTGCTACGTTTCTGGACCTTGATCGTGTTACTTGAACATTACTGTCTATGGGAGGGTCAGAGAGCTCTCAGAATGCATCAAAAATATCTTAATTTGTGTTCCGAAGATGAACGGAGGTCTTACGGGTTTGGAACGACATGAGGGTGAGTAATTAATGACAAAATTTTCATTTTGGGGTGGAATAACCCTTTAAAATATATTGACATAAAAATAATATTTTCCAATATTACTATTTTTGATCAAATAAATGCAGCCTGGGTGAGAATAAGAGACTTCTTTTAAAAACATTAAACGTTTAAACAATACATATATTCTTTAATATGATCTTCTCTAAGTGTCTTCTCTTTTTCTTTAAGGGAATGATATCAGTCAGGTAGATGGATTGGATGGTTTGCGGAGACTACGTGAGTTGGTTCTGGATCGAAATCGAATTAAATCTTTGAGTGAGAACTCATTCTGGGGACAGGGAGTTTTGCTGAATTTGCACCTGGCAGAGAATCGCATCCGTGAACTGAACCACCTTCAGCCTCTCACTGAGCTCCGGAGACTGTTCTTAGACATGAACAAAATACTGGTACACAATAACACCTACACAAAATACACAAAAACCTACCTAAAATACAGGTACACATTAAATATGCGCACAAAGTTTCATTCTTGACTGTAAAGCCCCACAAAGGACAAAAAACTGACTTTTCCAAGCTTCTGGTGGGAAACACACTATAATTTGTTATATGCTGGAAAAAGCTAGAAACTATCTCTTTAATTGATAATTTAAACAATTGTAAATCACCTCACTAATAATGAAAACATTTGGTATTTGAGTCATGGCATATTTCTAGAGCAAATACATAGAAGCAGTTTGGTTCATATTCATTAGTTAGACAGACAGGTCTTTCAGATATAGTTAATCTTATGATAGGTATAATTTACCATATTAACAGGATATATTTAAGTGTTGTAGGTCAGGATATATATATATATATATAGAATCTACCAAGAAACTTAGGAACACAGTTACTCTCAACCCCACTGAGAGTGTGTGTAAGTTTGAGTACTTGAGGCTTGCTTTTATTATTCACCCCTCCATTCTAATCTATCTGTATGTGTGTAGCTGCAGTTTTACTGTAATTACTAAATTACAGTAATTCAGTCACTTAGTGTGTTTGTATTAGTGTTGTTAGTCCCTGTGAGAGCTCTGCCTTTTTCCTGCCCCTGAATATAGAGTAATTACAGACAGCCATTACTGCACCAGCACAGCAGCCCAAGGGGACAATTAAGCAGTATTTACATTGATTGAAGGTCAGAGGTGTGTGTGTGTGTGTGTATGTATGTGTGTGTGTGTGTGATTTGATTCACCTCCTCATTCCTTTATCTTTGTGGAAATCATGACATGTTAAAAAAAACTTTAATTGGATGTTTCTTGTGTCCTTTTCATTGTTTATTCCCCTCTTCATATGCCTGTTTATTTGAAACATTTTAATACAGTAAACATAGGAGTTAACGTGACAAAAACAACTGTTCAAATATTTGAGATGAAGATATACTATACTGATATATTATGCTACTATAGTCAAATAAGGTAGCCTAAAAGAACAGTTGCTCTGCTTTGATGCTCAATTCCATTCATTTCAATTCCATGGGAGTTTTGCATGAGGGCACAAAAGGTCTTGAAGCAAATTTTGCCCATGTTCAAGTTGATCATGCAAATTCGCCATGCTGACCAACAGAAAGCTAAAGCTAAACTGAGAAACTGAAAAATTGACCATTTCTTGCCCACAAAATTACGCATAGATTGTGACACCTTAAGATGATAAAAGGGAGAAATCTTTATAAAATGTAGTTTAAAATGCATGTGCCACATTCTTAGAAATGTAATTTTTGTATTCATATTGGTTTTATACTTAAAAAAGATTTAATGACAAATCTAAAATATTGAGTTGTGTAACCATCAAACAAAAAGTAATAAAAGATGTCCACATATTTCAACATAAACAGTTTTCAACATTGATAATATTAAGAAATGTTTCTTCACCAAAGATTGGAGTAATGGCTACTAAAAAAAATCAGCTTTGCCATCACAGGAATAAATTACATAAAAAATATATTAAAATAGGAAACAATTATTAAATTGTTTTAATATTTCAGAATATTAATATTTTTACAGTATTTTTGATCAAACAAATGCAGCCTTGGTGAGCATGAAAGACTACATTCAAAAACAACAACAAAATCCTACTACCCAAACTTTTGTATATATAAAAATTAAATATGTATATAAAAGCATACAATAGTCAATGTGTTTCTTTTTTGTAAGTGTCTAAATGCAGTATGTATATCAAAGCGTATTTATGACCTAATATGTCTTTTGTTTGTGTTACAGGACATTTTAGAGCTGGAGAAACTGGAGGTGCTTCCTTCCCTCATGGAACTGTCTGTAGTGGGCAACCCAGTGAGTCACACACACACACACACAATGCTCTAGATGAAGAGATTTCAAACTGAGACCTTGGCTCAAATGCAAACTAACCATGATTACTGACAAATCCTTACACACACACTCACTCTCTGGTTCTGAATAAATACAGTATGTTTTGTCCTCTTTACTTGGCCGAATATCCCTTAAATTTGACATAATATTCTGCACTACGACATACCAAGTGTGTGTGTTGCAGGTAGCTCGGCGGTCACTGCACAGGCCAGCAGTTGTACTGCATCTGTCTACACTTCATGTTCTGGATGGCATGACAGTCACCCTGGAAGAAAGAACCAGAGCAGAGCTTTTAAATAATGAAGCACAGGTGGCTCACACTTACTATCCAGATCGAATGAATGGATCAGATACAACTTATACTGCAGAGACAGTTACCTTGTGCATTTGTGTAGGGTTCTAGTTCAGGTGGTGAAGTGACTTTACCCGGTTTGGTACCATTGGTGACCCGACCGGCTCCTTTAAGAGGTGCAGGAATGCACTCACTCGTACCTGATCAGCAAGACGATGCACATGATACCAGCAGGTGTACGTATACATACAGTACAGACACACACCAGATGTGTGTTAAACACAAACGCACACCATGAATACATTTTTGTGTGTGTGTTTTTAGATAGGAAGCAGAAAGCAGTTGTCTCTCTCTTGCGTGGAGTTCAGAGTGACTTCAACTTCAGGCAGATCAGAGGATCTTCCAGCCACTACATGACAGCGCTGCAGCAGACCGGATACAGAGTTCTCTCCACTTTCCCTAACGCTGATCCTGAGACCAGGTCTGTACATACACACACGCATATACAGTATAGGTCTTTATGTGATGTTGAAGGATAGAAAGCATATTAACCCTCATGTCGTGTTCTTGTCATTTCACGTGGAGAGGATTTTCTTTTCCTAAAAATGCTAGTTAATGTTATCGCATTGGACTAAAACTTACTGACTTTACTCACACAGGTTATAACAACTTCCCGAAACCACAACTTCTTGAACTTTTTTTGCTAAATATATATTTTTAAAATCATTTTGGAACTGATTGGTCCTTGTCCTCATTGATCTCATCTTATGCACCTCCGTTTTTAAGTGAATATTGCCAAAATTATCCACAAATAGTCCTTTTTCACTCAAAAACTGAGATGCATAAGCTTAAATCAATGAGGCCTATGACCAGTCAGTTCCAAAAAGAAACACAAAACCTGTACTAATTGAAAGAAAACAAGTTGTTATCCCAGGATAATTTACAATTTTACGATTTAGAAGCCTTTTTTAAATGGTTGGTCATTTTTGACTGTGAACACCAGATTAGGTAAAGGATTTTCAGGTGGTAATCTTGATATTCTCCACAGGTACAAGTGTCACAGTGTACCCAGACCTCCTCCTCCTCCTCCTCCTCTGTAACGCAAAGTCATAGATGCACTAAGTGTGTCATGAATTTCAGCTTTGGTCTTGTGTGTTGTTGTTCATCTTTGGATCTTAGATAGGACTTAAACTGACAATTTATTTATTTGGAATTGTGTCAATATCAAAGATATTAAATGTACATTTTCTATTCAAGACTTTGAGTGGTGTCCTTTATCTTAAGTCTTTGTCCTTGCAACATTCTCACTCTCCATGAGGTTTGGTTTTATTTAAAAAAAAAATGTATTTGATAGTTATGAAGTCACTTCAAATATAAAAGTATATACAAAACATTTGTCAAAAACATTTTTCTTGGAAACTCAAATGTTTTGGCCTGTAGTTGCAAAACCAGTCCATTGAGGGGTCCCAGAGGGCTGGTTTGGTTTTTAATTTATTTTTAGCCTCAGTGGAACTGGTTGGAACATATAAACATTAAAATTTAACAGTACTAAAAAAAAATGTAATTGTAATATTTTTTCTTAATTTTATTATTTTATTTATTATTATATTATTATTATTATTGTTCTTTGTTTTAATGTATTCTATAGAGAATAATAAGACATGATTAGTTTTGTTATTATTGTTGTTAGTATAATACATAATTGTACACAAGAATAATAATAATCATTTTTTATAGAATAATGTAATTTGTACTTGATCCTTAAGGAAAACCATTTCCTGCTAATTTATAATACACATACACACTATCAACTATTGCACTTCTGTGTCTGTTTTTCTTTTTATGACAAACACATCTTACGCGATTCAAGGTTTTGCCATCAGCTTTTCTCTAAGAAATAAAAGCCCACTCTGGGGTGGAATAGTTCTCGTTACAGCTATGGCAAACAGTGATTTGTGTCAGACCGTGACACTGAAAAGAGAGCAGAGGTTTTAGTCTGATGTGTTTATTTTCAGTGGGCTGTATTATGAGGGCAGTTTAGCAGCACAGCTGAAAATCCAATGTCTGGAGAAATTCAAAGGCAATCACACACATAATGCGTTCAGTAAAAACCTGTTATCACAGCTCAAGGTAATTCTCTTCCTGTTTTCCTCTGGAGTATAATGGTGGGGGGTTGCAAAAGGAGAAAGACACAGAGAGAGAACCAAATCTAACAGAATAAAAGAAGATATATTAAAATGTGGAGAAAATGAGAAAGGAAAGCCAGAGTGAATGCTGTTGAATTTAATGGTGGACCTGCTATGGAAATAACACAGAGCACAGTGAGTGTGTCCAAGCACTGTTCAAAGGAATACAGAGATACGTCTGAGCATCTTGCAGCAGGAACGTTCCTTTTTATCTGTTGATGTGTCTTTTACTGTTGGTCTCATGCAGGGATGTGTGTCAGGCTTGAAAATAGTTAATTATAATTATTAAATTAATTTTAGCTTTTCAACTTTTCAAAAAAAATAAAATAAAAATCAGTGTCTGATTGCATAACTTTTTGATTTGGTTTATGCATGTATATTGCCATTTCCCCGTGTCTAATTAGCCTATACTAGAAAAAAATAATCAATAGATAAAAGCTGGAAATCACATTAGTTACCTTTATCATAATCTTCACATTTAAGTGAGAATGGGGTTAATTTCATTACTTTCACTGCTTTGATTTAAACAAATGTTATTTCTGCTATGCACATTCTAACAAAAAAAAAAAGGATCAAGTCTTATTAAATGTGTTTCTTTGTTTGTTTTTTTATTAAATGTTTAATTAAATTGATAATTAAAGTTAATATTCTTCACATTGTGCAAACAGTCAAATATAAATGCCAGAGCTTGAGCATTTGCAATATTAATACCTCTTTAAATTACAACACAAGTATATTATTTTTTCAAAAGGCTCCTGCATAACAAGAATGACCTTGTTAATAGTTTTGCCAGCATACCATTTGCAGTTTTGCCATTTTATATTTTCATGGCTAATTCTGTGAGGAAAAATAAATGTCTGTACGTAAACACGTAACCGTGTGTGTCGTGTAGCGCCGCCCTTCAGGCCGTGTTGCCCAACTGCAGCATCAGCAGAAGCGATGATGGATAGCGGGTTCGTTTTATCCCCACACAAACCATATACTCACCCTTCTAACACCTCTCCAGCCTTTCTCATTTAAAGGTATGTGTTGTTAAAAACAAAAGAAGGCTGTTTCTATTTCTTTTTTTGCCATGTGGAAAAATAAACCGACTTTACGCCTAAACAGGAGCAGCTAACGCTAGCCGCGCTAACCAGTTTATAGCCGCTTTCTCGCCTCTGTCCTTTATCTGCTGTGTTTGGAAGAAACCAAGACGATATTATAATGTCATATGATATAAGAGCTGTGTGTTTGGTTATTATAATGGTCTGTACACCGGTTGTCACGTTAATGTTTGTCTCTTGTTGTCATAGCTGCAGTGTTAGCATGTGAACAGATCACAGGATACAAATCAACAAGACTGCCTTAAAAACGTAAATCTGAGGATTATAGCCACAAATCAAAGGATAAGAGCACGTAATTCACAGGATAAACCCGTGAAGTCACTGGTTTGAGGCTGATTGACTCCGCAACAATCAACCTGTTTTTATGCTGTGTGTTTATTTTGGCTATAATCATCTCTGCTTATTTTGCTCGGGTAACATCAACAAACAGGTAAACTGGGAATCAGATGTAAAAATACACAGATGCTCTGAGGTTATAAAACCTGTGGTTATTTTTATGTTTTTTACCACGTGAGTATGGTTAAAAAAAAATAAATAAATAAAATAATTGTAACTTGGTAACTAATATCTATCTGGGTAAGTTACTTCCCCAGTTGATTAATTATAATTTTTATTATTTTTTTGTATTTTACTGAAATAGTGCATTTAGTATGCAAATTATTCATTCTCTAATTAAATATACATAAACTTGATCCCAGATTCAAAATTCTTGTTTCATGTTGTTGGCATATTAGAGTTAGCCTAAAAGTTTTTACAGATGGGATTTTGGATCTCTCTTTTTTTTTATCACTCCATAAATCAGAAAATATTTTCAGCAGCCAGAAAAAAATTTCACCATTTTTTTTATTTTTTACATGAAACATTTGAATGATATATGAGCAAACCCCTCTGTAAGAAACTTCAGAATATAGATAGGAATAAAACGGGAAAGTTTGGTTAATGTAAGTGGAGATTTCAGGCTCAGTGCATGAGAAAATAATATTTTGAGAAAATGCTCTTTAAAGATATTTATTGTAATTAAAATATACAGACAAAATAGATAACGTGTAAAAAAAATAAAAAATGTTTTGGAGGTTATATTCTTTCCATTAACTTTAAAACTATTGCTTGGCAAGTAACACTGTCCTCCCATCAGAATTATGAAAACATTTATATATTTCTTAAATATACATATTGCATATATTATAATTATGTAAGGTATATGATAAAACAATAGCTATAATTAATGTAAATATAATATAATTATGATATATTTATAGTAAATAAATATAATATGTTTACTATTGTGTGTATACACTTCTATTTATTGCTGCCACTAATAACTATTTTTATTTCGATTAATATATCGACTAATTTATCGATTAATCTAAACAATTAATTTTCCACAAAAAAATCAACAATTTTACTTAAGAATATTTTATTAAACTATTTCATTAAACCAAATGAAATCCAAAAGTAAAAAAGTAACTTGCAACATAAAGTGCAAGAAGCAAGTGTCCATCTCATAGTCCAAATCACTGAAATCAAAGTTCAGTATTACAGTGTAAGAATGACAACATAGCCACGTGTTCTAGTCTACTAATAATAAAATTATTTACCAGAGTATTTACCAGAAATATTATTTACCAGAATTTATTTAGGAGAAAAATGTAAATGTGCAGTATTTCTGAAAAAAAAACAAAAAAAAACTTATAAAATAAAATAAATTAATTGGAGATGCTTTTGATTATTACAATTTAATGGAACCATTAAAAAGGAATCCAGAAAATGGAAAACAGAATTTGGTAAAGATAAAACTGTAAAAAAAAGTTAATTAGACAGGCTTTTTGATTAATAAAATTTAATTTAACCATTAAAACCTGAATTTGGAAATAAAACAGTAGCCTACTTTTTGATCAGTTCATCAGTAATATTCAGGAAATAATAGATATTGCCCTCCCATCCCCATTGGGCAAAGGGTCGAAATGATCACTCGACTGTGCTTCGTGAACACTCTCGCCTTGCACGGCGGCACCACTGCGCTGCAAAGATGTAACGGGAGAAGCGCGATCATTAGACGACCGATCGTCATTTCCAAAA